CATTCATGGTAAAAAAGGAGCGCAGGAAGTGGTTTTCTTATGGCTTCGTCAAACTGACAAGGCAGAAGTGAGGATTTGTCGGAAACTGTAAGCAGGGTGATTGACAGCTGGTGAAGTTGTCACCGAAAAAGACTGACGAGTCCTTCATCTCCTGCAGAGCATAGCCTTAAAAACTTCAATTTTTTCAGTAGTGCGTTCTGATTGGTGTAAGATCATGACAAAAATGAAAATGCTACATTTTTCTATATGCACAGTGTAACCTTCCTAATGTCGCTTAATTCCAGGAGGCCCATAATATCGTGCGATGCTCGGATAGGAGAGGATCAGCGGACAAGTTTGATGCGGTTAGTACTTAGCTCTATATTGATGCAGTAGCCTCAGATGACTTAATAGGAAATCTGTTTAATGATAAGATAGCAGAAATTTTATTCACTAATACTATTATGTTTATTGTGTTTAAATTTTCCCAGCAAATTTTCAAATTCTTTATGAAACACCAATAACAGGATCTAAACTGCGTGAGTCTAAGGCTGAAGGAAAATAGTTAAGAAAATAAAGTAACCTCTAGTTACCAGTTTGTTTTGGATCGAAATATGGATTCTAACACGAGGTTCTAATATGAGGCAGAAGGAAATCCCCGACCAGGAGTCGATCCCGTGACCTCTGCCATGCAAGACTAACACGATAACCGCTGCGCCATAGCTGATAGGATCTGTTGCACCGGTTTTGTTGTTGCTCTGGTATGGCTCTTTGCTGCTCTCATCTTTTAAGATGAAGTGGGCAGTTTATATTTATATTCTAGACCTAAATTACCAATATTGGTTTGTTTTTTTCCGTTATTATTGCCGATCAAGGTGTACACAAAAACTTCAGTTTCACGGCCAGTGTATTTACGAAAATGAATACACTTACATGCAATAGTCAGCATTTTGTTGTAATTTTGGCTGGTTTTGCATCTGGAGTTTGAGTCCTTTTATACACTGATCAAGAAATGACGTCCTTTAAAGCAAACAACAACTTTTTTCTAGTTCTCCCTGATCGTTCGTATCCTTCCTTTCCAGATCTTTCCAGAATCACCAAGAGGCCATATTTTGAAAAACGTTTCTACTTGTTATTAGTAAGTAGTAAGATGCCTGAGAATACGATAAGGCAACTGACATACCAAAATTATACTCGGATCATTTGTTTGCTAACTCTCACTTGTGAGAACAAAAAGTAGATAATAGCAAATAAAGAATGAAATACGTCAAAATAACGATTTTCTTTGCAGTACAAAGTTCTGGCCACATCAAATCCAAACCATGTCGGCTACTTGATCTCGGAGTTCGAGAGCGTTGCCGGATATCCCATTGAGAAGGCGATCGAGAAGGACTTCAGCGGTGACACGAAGAACTTGTTACTGGTGAGCGGCTGATTTTCGAAGAAATAGCGTGACGCTTAATTGTATGGGTTTTAACGAATTTTCAAATACTTTCAATACTTTCGTGAAGCTTTTACGAGACTTCAGTTTAAAATAACATTTTGAACAACCTAAACGATGCTTTCTTCATTTGATACAAATAACTGCTCATTTACAAAGCTTTATGTTAGTTTATTTTTTAGTCTGCGAATAGTGGTCCTTTGCAAATTCGGATTCAATTTTTTTCTTTTTGAAGTTCCTTAGCATTAAAGAAAGATATGGGATGAAAATTCTGAAACAACTGTAAATTGTTCAATTCCAGTATTAAATGCTAACTCTCTAAAGATCGATAGTAAAACCCGGATAAATCTATTAGTTTTGAACTCGGACAAGATAGTTTAAATTGAAATGTTGCTCAGGCCAGTGTCCTTCTAAGCCAGTAGTTCCTTTATTTTTGATTTTAAGGAACACCATGGCATAGATGGTCTTCTGAAAAGAAAAAAGCTATGATATCTTTCCTCTTACAATTAGACCTAAGTATACATGTACAGTATCCACCCGTCCAGTTTTTTAAGAGTTCTTTCTTAATGCTACTTTCTTTAAGCAAGTAAAAGATTTTGATGAAAGGTTTTATGACTTCACGATGGCTTGATACTGAAGTTTAATTTGAATTGACTATAATTATTGCACGAACTTTATTTCGACGTTCCGCGCGTTAAGCCCCTCATCAGGATCTTCCTGTAATATATACACAATTATGCGATGTATGAGCAGGAATAGCGTCCAGTACCTGTCGCTCGTTGGGGTCAAAAAGAACTGTGCCGGAAGTGGTTTTAAGTTTTGTAACTTGCAAAGATGTATTGCACTTTTACTGATCCTTTGCCTTAGTGTAGAAAAACAGCGATGATTAGGTATACTGCTGAGAAATCAAAAAAAAAANCAGCTTAAATTGCGGTGATAAATAACGTCTTGTTTTTAGTTTGGCACAAATCCAATAGTTTTTATTATTAACAGTTGCTTATGCAGCGCTAAAATACTGTTACTTATGGTACATTCATAACACTGACGTCTGGCGGAGCTTCTAGTTGACAGTCAATTGTTTGTAGACAATAGACGGGCTGATAGCAAAGCAGCTAACAACACAGTTCAGAGGTTTAAAAAAGGTGTAGATGGTGTTCGTCTTCTCCTCGAGCCGTATTTTCTATACTGTTCACTGTCGACTGTAAGTCACGCCCGTCGCTAGTCCTACGAATGCACTACACATATTCAAATGTTTAAAGGCAGCATCCACGCTCGGAACGCCTTCTGAGCTCTCGACGGATTCTGAAAGA